TGAATTGTTCTCTGTGAATTGTGACATTGTGTAGTCCTAAGTTATATGAATTCTTTCTTTCTAATCTTGAGGTACATCTTTTATTTATTTTTTTATTCTCATCCGAGGACATTTTTTTGCATTCATCTTCAGATAGAGCGAGAGGGGGAGAGGGAGGAAGAGAGAGAGAGAAACATCAATGTGAGAGAGACACATCAAGTGGTTGCCACTGGGGCTGTTGGGGCTGGGGACAAACTGCAACCAAGGTACATGCCCTTAGTGGCATGCCCATAGTGGGAACGGAACCTGGATCTCTCTGGACCACAGGTTGACGCTCTAACCACTGAGCAAAACGGACCAGGGCTCATGGATTTTTTTTTTAAAGTAATCGTTTATTTATTTATCCTCACCCGAGAACATTTTTCCATTTCTTTATTTAGAGCGGAAGGAAGAGAGAGGAAGAGAGAGAGAGAGAAACATCGACATGAAAGGGACACATCGAGTGGCTGCCACCCACAGAGCCAGGGCCAGGGACAAACTGCAACCGAAGTACATGCCCTTAGCGGGAACTGAACCGGGGTCTCTCTGGACCGCAGGCTGATGCTCTAACCTGAGCCAAACTGGCCAGGGCTCATGGTACATCTTTTAGATGGCATTTATCTCCTTTCTTGGCCTTCATATAATTTTTTTGCTTTTGTGAAAAATTTGTTTCTATAAGTTGTATGGTTTTTTACATTACTATAAATAGTATCTCCCACCTTCATTTTCATTTATAGCTGATTTTGCATCAAATGCAGAAAAGCTGTTTGTTTTTGTATGCAGCCATGTGCCTTAGGAAAGACGGGAGATAAAAATATATAGGTATAGCCCTGGCTGGTGTAGTTCAGTTGGTTGGAACGTCATCCGGTGCCCCGAAAGTTTGTGGATTCAATTTCTGGTTAAGGCAGGGATCAGGGTGCATATGGGAGGCAACAGATGAATATTTCTCCCTCACATTAATGTTTCTCTCTCTAAAAATCAATGAACATATCCTTGGATGAGGATTAAAAAATCTATCTATTGCCCTGGCCGGTTTGGCTCAGCAGTTAGAATGTTGGCCTGAGATCCAGAGAGACCCGGGTTCGGTTCCGCTAAGGGCATGTACCTCGGTTGCAGTTTGTCCCAGGCCCCGGTTGGGGTCGTGCAGTGGCAGCCACTTGATGTGTCCCTTTCACGTCGATGTTTCTCTCTCTCTCTCCCTCCCACTCTATCTGAACAAAAAATGCAAAAATGTCCTCAGGTGAGGATAAAAAAACAATCTATCTAGATAGATAGATACAGATTTATATAAATAAGAAACTATATTTTAAAATTAAAATATTAATAATACATTAATAATTATGTATTTAAGTGTATATATTTTAATCTTCACCCGGGACATGTTCATTGATTTTTAGGGAGAGGAAGGGGGAGAAAGAGACAGAGACAGAGACACTGATGTGAGAGAGAAACATCAATTGGTTGCCTCCTGCACATGCCCTGACGGGAGCCAGGGACCAGGACCAGGGGTTGAACCTGAAACCTAGGCATGTGCCGTGATCGGGAATCAAACCTGCAACCTTTCTGTATACAGGATGATGCTCCAACCAACTGAGCTACACTGCCCAGTGCAGATATACATGCTTATGTAAATATATATATGGTGTGTGCATTATTCCTCACTAGGAATTGATTTTTAAATAGAGTGGAAGGGAGGGAGAGAGACAGACAGACAGAGAGAGAAACATTGATGTGAGAGAAACACATCGATTGGTTGCCTCCCACACAACCCTGACCAGGGCCAAGGATGAAACCTGCAACCCAGGTACATGCCCTTGACCAGAAATTGAACCTGAGACCCCTTCGGTCAGTGGGCTGATGCTCTAACTGCTGAGCCAAACTGTCCAGGGCTGAAATATATATATATATATTTTATAGAGTGGGAGGGAGAGAGAGGAACAGAGAGAGAGAGAGAAACATCGATGTGAAAGGGACACATCGAGTGGTCGCCACCCGCACAACCAATCAGGGCCGGGGACAAACTGCAACCGAGGTACATGCCCTTAGCGGGAACCGGACCCGGGTCTCTCCGGACCGCAGGCCGATGCTCTAACCGCTGAGCCAAATCGGCCAAGGCCTGAAATATATTTTATAAATATATATATATATATATATATATATATATATATATATATATAAAAATTAGAATATCTTAGGTCTTCTAGGTAGACAATCCCTGCACCTGCTAGCTCTCCTTTTAAAATATTTACCCTGTATAAAGTCACCACAGCTTTTTTTTATTCACTCATCTACTGATGGCATTTGGGCTGTTTCCATATCTTAGGTATTGTAAAAAACAGTGAAGACCTGGGGTGGGGCAGGGGCTGGATGGAGGAAGACAAATAGGGAGAAAATGGGGGCCATCTGTAATACTGTGAACAATAAATAAATAAAATAAATAAATATATTTATGCTGATTATTCAGGTCCTTGTCATCTCACTTTGCTATAACCACCAAAAATGTTATCTGCAGTGGGGGTGGCTAACTGTGCATCTTATTTCTTCCTTTAATAGAAATGACTAGGGTTCATCATTTAATTTTTTTTTTCTACCCATGTTCAGATAGAGTGGGAGGGAGAGAAAGGGAGAGAGAAACATTGACTGATTGCCTTCCGCATGACCCGTCCAGGGCCTGGGACGAGCTGCAACCGGGGCACGTGCCCTTGACCGGAGTTGAACCATAGATTCATTTGTCCACGGGCCAACGGTCTACCACTGAGCCAAACTGGCCAGGGCTAGGATTTCATTATCTAAAGTGGCAACAGTTTTGTGGTTAGCCTTACAGTCTTTATTTATTTTTTAAAAAAATTGTTCTTTATTGATTTTTACAGAGAGAGGAAGGGAGAGAGAGAGAAACATTGATGAGAAAGAACATCGATCGGCCGCCTCCTGCATGCCCCCCACTGGGGAGTGGACCCACAACCTGGGCATGTGCCCTGACTGGGAATCAAACCAGTGACCTCTTGGTGCATGGGTCGACACTCAGCCACTGAGCCACACCATCTGGACTAGCCTTACAATCTTTATATACTTTTCCTTTTTTTTCAATTTATCATCAGATAGAGTGGGAGGCAGAGAGAGAGAGAAAGGGAGAAAGAAAGAAACATTAGCATGAGAGGGACACATCAGCTGGTTGCCTGCCGCACAACCCAGACCAGGGCCAGGGACTGAACTGCAACTGAGGTATGTGCCCTTGGTCAAAATCGAACCTGGGACTCATTAGTCCACAGGCCGATGCTCTACTGCTGAGCCAAACCAGCCAGGGTTATACTATTCCATTTTTATTAGAAATAGCTATTGTATTTCACAGAACACCTCTTGGACATTAAAAAAAAAGTTTTTATTGATTTTAGAGAAGAAGGGAGAGGGAAAAAAAGAGATAGAAATATCATTGAGCTGCCTCCTGCATGTCCCTTACTGGGAATTGAGCCTGCAACCCATGTCTGTGCCCTGACTCGGAATGGAACCAGCAACCTCTTGGTGCAAGGGTTGATGCTCAACTACTGAGCCCCACTGGCTGGACTCTTGGACATTTTTGTTGTTGTTAATCCTCACTCACAGATACTTTTCCATTGATATTTAGAGAGAGTAGAAAGGAGGAGAGACGGGGAGAGGGAGAGACAGGGGGAGAGACAGGGGGAGAGGGAGAGACAGGGGGAGAGACGGGGGAGAGGGAGAGACAGGGTGAGAGACAGGGGGAGAGGGAGAGACGGGGTGAGAGACAGGGGGAGAGGGAGAGATGGGGTGAGAGACAGGGGGAGAGGGAGAGACAGGGGGAGAGACAGGGGGAGAGGGAGAGACAAGGGGAGAGACAGGGGGAGAGGGAGAGACAGGGTGAGAGGGAGAGACAGGGTGAGAGACAGGGGGAGAGGGAGAGACGGGGAGAGACAGGGGGAGAGGGAGAGACGGGGAGAGGGAGAGATAGGGGGAGAGGGAGAGACAGGGGGAGAGACAGGGGGAGAGGGAGAGACAGGGGGAGAGGGAGAGATAGGGGGAGAGGGAGAGACAGGGGGAGAGGGATAGACGGGGAGAGACAGGGGGAGAGGGAGAGATGGGGAGAGGGAGAGACGGAGAGAGGGAGAGGGAGAGGGAGAGACAGGGTGAGAGGGAGAGGGAGAGGGAGAAACAGCAATGTGAGAGAGACACATTGATTGGATGGTTTCTGGATTAGGGTGAGTATAAATAGTTAGACCTCTTGAGTATATTCATCAGTGTGGATTGACTTGCTTTCAAGATACTGACAGTTTCTCCAAGTGGTCTGTATTTTTAATTTTAGCCATTCTTGTGGATCTGGACACTATTTCTTATGGCTAGATAGCATAATGTTCTATTGATGAATTTAAGCAACCTCTTGTTGATAAGCATTTGGGCTGTTTTCAATTCTTACTCTTCTAAACAATACAGTGATGAACATTCTGGAACACCCTTCTTTTTATTTTTGCTTTTTTAGTAATCCTTACCTGAAGACATTTTTACATTTATCTTCAGTCAGAGTGGGAGGGGGAGAGAGAGAAACATCGACATGAGAGTGACACATCAATTGGTTGCCACCTGCACAACCCAACCAGGGCCAAGAACAAACCAAAACAGTTATGTGCCTTTGGCTGGAATTGAACCTGCAACTCTTTGGTCCACAGGTCGACGCTATAACCACAGAGCCAAACCAGCCAGGGCTCTGGAACACCTTCTCATACACTTGTAACTGACCCCCTAGCTATCACCTTTTTGGTTATTTCCAGTTGTTTTGTTTTTACATACAAAATAACCCTAGAATAAGCTTTCTTGTACATTCATCTTTGTGGACTTAAAAGCTTTTTGTTTTCTTGAGATTTGAGGCTTGTTTTTTGTTTTTTTTTTTTTTGCTTTTAACATCTCTTCTCATGGACTTGAACACAGAGTCAACCCAGGGCAGTGTTGTTGCACGTTGCATGGGATGAAGGGATGAAGGCTGCTTACTCTTGCAAGCTGGCTTCTGAGATTGCACCTTTTCTTCATGCTCCTCCTCCAACTCTATGACCCTCCAAGGTATGAAGATGGGTGGACAAGGGTCTGACTGATACAGTCAGAAGTTGGGGGGGGGGGACTTCGGTCAAAATAGGCTCCAGTTATGCATCAGGGTTGCTTGACAGCATCCCAACTCTCTGCACCAAGATACTTCTGAAAACCACAGTCATTTTGTCACTCTTCTTTCTACCTTTCATCTGCCTTTGATCTATCCATTATCTGTCAGTCATCTACCATCCATTCACTGATTCATTCTCAATCCACCAGTGGTCTCTTCTTCAATTCCTTCAATTCCTCTTTCCATTCACATACTCATTTATCTACTCAGATTTTATCCACCCATCCATCCATCCATCCATCCGTGCATTTATCTTTCCATTCATTCCTCGCTCTCTCTACACACCCATCTATCCATCCATGCACTCATCTATTTATCCATCCATGCACTCATCCATCCATTTACCCACTCACCTATCCATCCACTCACCCACCCACCCACCCACCTACCCATCTATCCATCCATGTGTCCATTTCTTTATTGATCCGTTCATAAATTCATAAGCTTCATTTATTCATCCATTCTTTCACCCAACCCTTCATCCATCCCTTCAACTAATCTACCATCCATTCACACAGATATATCTATTCAGTATCAAGTCATGCATTCATCTATCCATTTGACTTTCAATCCACTCACCCACTCATTTAGTAGTCAAGTTAGTCACTCACCCAACACACACTCATTCACATCCTGAAACCAGACCCTATGACTAAGATGGGGACACAGATGTGACTTGGACTTGTTTCTTGTTCTCTAGTAATTGATAGTCAGTTGGGTGAGACAAATAACAATAACACACACACACAAACAGGAAATTCCCCAAACAGTGTGATCAGTGCTGTACTCACAGTATGTTCCAGATACAGGTGGCCATGAGGCAAGGCTAGAGAGGGCCTGCAATGGATAGGAGAAAGATTGCAAGGTGCCAGGAACAAGATCTAGGTCCCAGGGCAAGTGCTCACTACAGCCGTGACCCCTCTTGTGTGCACGACTCCACTCTCTGACCACCTCCCTACCACCCCTGTCCCACAGGCAGAGTTGATCCGCCTAGGAACCAAGACAATGCAGCAAGCAACACAGTTACAGTTGTCACCTAATGGGCAGAGCTCCTACCAGTCCCAGCCCAGCCCCAATCTCCAAGACAAAGTGGGGACACTGTGTTCACAGCCTCCATGTGAGCCACCTGCGTCCAGGGAGACCCTCCCACAACAGCTGGACAAGGACAAGAAGGTGCTCAAGCGTATTCCACGCCTCCGGGCTGTGGTCGAGAGCCAGGCTTTCAAAAATGTCCTGGTGGATGAGATGGACATGATGCTGTCTCGTGCAGCCACCCTCATCCAAGCCAACTGGAGGGGCTACCGGCTCCGGCAAAAGCTGATCTCCCAGATGTCGGCAGCTAAAGCCATCCAGGAGGCCTGGCGACGCTTCAACAACAAGCGCCTCCTCCGGTCTGGCAAGGCAGTAGAGAAAAAACTGAATGTGGATGAGAGGGACATCCCTTACCACCCCCCTCAACAAGTGCGGTTCCAGTATTCAGAAGAGGGCAAGAGTCTTCCAGCCTCCCCTGTAATGGTGAGTAAGGAGACCCAGTTCCCTTCTGCTGACAGCTTGGCTTCCTGTGCCCACCAGCTGGCCCTGCTGCGGCCCCTGGGCATTCCACAGCCCAGCATGCAGGCTCCTTGTGCCACTGGAGGCTCCAGCGTCACTTTCTTGCCACACCAGACTGTTCCCATCAGACTTCCGTGTCCAGTGAGTCTAGATGCAAAGTACCACCCATGCCTGCTAACGAGAACCATCAGAAGTAACAGCTGTGTCCACTTAGAAGGGAACATGATAAAGACCACGCAAGTGACTGTCAGAGCCAACAAGGCAGGAGCCTCAGGGCCACCACCAAGTGGAAAGTATGCCCAGGCACTTTATGGATCCCTCAAGACCCAGACCCAGGCCCATGTGGAAGCAGAGGGCCGCAAAGCCCCACCCCAGACAGGCCAAGCATCTGTGATAACCAAGACCCTACTCCAACCTTGCCTGGTGCCCACCATAACAATGACTAAGACCCCACCTCAGAGGTACCCGGCAGCTGTAGTGACCAAGACCCCACTCCAGTCGTGCTTGGCATCCATGATGAACAAAACCCAACCCCAACCATGCCCACCTCCCACAGTAATAATGGCCAAGACCCCACCCCAGATGGACCAGGCAGCCCCAGTGGCCAAGACCCCATTCCAGTCATGCCTGGCAGCAATCTTGAACAAGATCCCAACCCAGCCATGCCCGGTACCCACAATAATGCTAATGAAGACCCCACCACAGTCGTGCCTGACTGCCCCAATGACCAAGACCCCAGCTCAGATGCAACCAACAGCCTCGATGACCAACACTGCACCCCATACACAACCAGCTGCCATGACCTCAATGATCAAGCCCCCTACACAAACCTGCCCAGTGCCTGCAATGGCCAAGACCCCACCGCAGACCTGCCCAGTGCCTGCGATGGCCAAGACCCCGCCGCAGACCTGCCCAGTGCCTGCGATGGCCAAGACCCCGCCGCAGACCTGCCCAGTGCCTGCGATGGCCAAGACCCCGCCGCAGACCTGCCCAGTGCCTGCGATGGCCAAGACCCCGCTGCAGATGCACCCAGTGGCCACGATGGCTAAGACCCCACTACAGACATGCCCAGTGGCTACAATGGCCAAGACCCCATCTCAGATGATCCCAGGGGCCTCAGTGACCAAGACCCCTCCCCAGACACGTCTGGTGGCCATGATCACCAAGACCCCAGCCCAGTTACGTTCGATGGCTGCCACCATCAGGACCCTCTGCCTGCCTCCTACTGCAGCTGGAAATCTGAAGGCTTCACCTCCAACAGTCTTGGCAGCTGGGACTCCCAATACCTCATCGCATACATATCTAAATAGACCAAAGGCTAAGGCTGTGGTGACCACGAGGCAGATGGCAGGCACGGCCAAAGTCTCATCTCATTCACACTTGACTGAGGGAAAGATGAAATACTGCCCACCACATCTGGGAGCTGGGGCTCCCAAGGCTCCAGCTAGGCCTTTCTTGGAAGCCGAGAAAATCAAGACCTTCTCCCAGAAACAGATAAAAACAGCAACCATGTCTAACACCAGTGTGGCCAAGGACAGGACCAAGGTCTTATCACAGGCTCACCTGAAGACAGATGTCATGAAGGTTCAGTCCCAGGTGTATGTTCCTGTAGAAATGTCTGGGGTGCAGTCCCAGGCACAGCAGGGCACATATCCAACCAAGACCCTGCCCCAGGCACAGATGGCCACCTTTTCAACCACAGCCTCACCCCAGGGACATCTGCTCAGGTTGCAGACTACAGCCCTGCCCCAGGCAAATCTGGGCACGTGTCTGTCCAAGCCCCCACCCCAGGCACACCCACCAGCCAAGCTAACCAAGGCCCCATCCCTGGCCCATCTGGGCACGTGTCTGACCAAGACGCAGTCCCAGGCACATCTGACCACAGGAGTGATAAAGGTCAAGTCTCAAGCACATCTGCCTACTGGGCTGACCAAGGCACAGTCTCAAGCCCAACTGGTCACAGAAACAGCCAAGTGCCTCTATGCTGCCCACCAGGCTGCTGAGCTCAATGGCAAGACTCAGTCCCAACCGCTCCTGGCTGGGTTCAAGGCCTCCACCCAGCCCTGCCAACATGTTGGCTCTCTTGGCACTTTGTCCCGAGCCAAACCAGAGGACAGACTGACCCAGCTCCCGGCCCACAGCTATGCCCAGGGCAAAGCCACACAGGGCCCATGCCAGGGGGCCCCCGAGACCCCGAGCAAACTGGTGCCTCTGCTGGCATCTGCTGGACACCCCACATGCAACATTGAATCCTGGGGTGACAGCGGGGCCACCCGGGCCCAACCATCAACTGCCAGCCCAGCTGTGCCTTGTGAGGAGGAGCTGGGGGCCTCCCAGCTTGCCTCACTGTGTGCTGAGCTGGCTGCCGTGCTGGGCTCCCAGGAGGACCTCCGCGCTCTGCTGGCAAAAACTCTCTCCCAGGGGGAACTGAGGGCAGCACTGAACCAGGCCCTGTCCAAGGAGGTCCTGGGTACCACGATAGCCAAAACCCTGCCCCAGGGCATGCTAGGCACAGCACTGGTGAAGGCGCTGTCCTGGGGTGACCTGGGCACTGCACTGTCCCGCGCCCTTTCCCGGGGTGAGCTGCGGGCAGAACTCACTAAGGTCATGCAGGGCAAACTGGTGGATATGCTCAGCAAGGCCCTGACAGAGGAAGAGTGGGCCACCCTGAGCCAGGCCCTGTGCCAGGGTGAGCTGGGTGCCATCTTGAGCCAGTCCTTATCTCAGGCAGCCCTCCGGACTGGACTCATCCTCCCTAAGGCTGCCTCGAAAACACTGGGAAGTGGGATGATGGTGACGCCAGCCCCAGTGGAGATGGACTATAGGGAGAGCCCGTCAGCTGCGTGGGGGCCCATCCTGGGCCATGTGAGACCACAGCCTGTCAAGGTCAGGGTTCCTCAGGGCAGGGCCTGGGAGGGCTTTGTTGGAGGAGATAGGGGATGGAACCATGGTTGGGAGGTCACCCTGTTTGTCTGTGGTCTCAGTGGGCGCCTCCAAGGTAGGGTGATCACTACTATTCTTCAGTTTCCCCCTGATTGCTGTTTTGGACCCCATTCTGCAATGGGAGATGGGGCCCCCCAGGGACTCCTTGCACCCTGGGGTGGGCGAATTGGCATCAGATCTCAACTCTGGGTTCAGTGATGCAGGCCCCAATTTGCCTGAGCCACTTCCCCTGCAGCCACCCCACCATCTGTGGCAGCTGCTCATTACCAATGGCGTGGCCCCAAGCACTAGCCAGTCATTAGTGGCTGGTGGCATGGCCCCAAGCTCCCACAAGCCACATGTGGCCAGCAGGGTGGCCCCACATCTGTTGGCATAATTGGGGGGAGGGCAGGGTGGCCTCAGGTAAGCTTGTCAGCACTGTGGGTGGTAGGAATGTCATCCACTCCCACCAGTGTGCCACCACCTATGGGGGTCTGCTTGTTGGTGTCAGCCCTCTAGGGTCACCTGGGGGATCCCTGGGGTGTATCAGCCATCAGCGGCCAAAAGTCTGCAACAGCCATTCATGGTCCCTGAGGAGACCATGCAGAGGACTCAGTCCCCAAATTATACATAGGTTTCTGTGGGCACTAGTGAGATGACCAAAAAGGTGACCTCAGGTCTACCGAGGGCCACCATGGTGAGCAAAGTGCCCCCAACCCAACCACAGACCCCCAATGCCTGTAACAGAACCCCAGGACCTTGCTCCATGTCTCCTGGTCATCACTGGGCATTCAAGAGTCAGGGAGACCCCAGTCTGTTGGAAGCTTCCCCAGGAAGTTGGTTAATGCTCACCTTTCCCCATGCGGCCATCTCTGGGCAGGAGAAAAATCAAAAACGGGGTATCATTTCTGGCACATGTTGCTCACAGGAGCTGGTGACTGACCATGTACTCAGTGAACTGGTGGACAGTTTGCCACAGAGTTCAGTGACCTGGCAAGAAGCTTCTTCAAGGGCTGCACAGACTATGACCCAAATGTGAGCAATTCCCAGAGCTTGCTGTGCTGCAATAGCTCACTTAGCCTTTATACCCTGTCTGTGGCCAGCCTGACTGTTGTCACCTTGATGGAGGGGGAGTCCTGGGAGGCCAGCTCATATGGGGACTTACTCTCTGGGGAGGCCATGGGGAGGTCCCAGAGTTCTGGGGACCTGGAAGAGATGGAGAGAGTAGGCCATGGGCACATGACCCCAAACTCCCACCCCCTGCCCTCCCCAGCCTCAGAGCTTATTCTCATTCTGCACCACAGATCAGTGTCCAGTCAGGTGATCTTGAGTGTCCACTGGGGCTCAGGTGATCAGGATGAGAGGGATATGTTCTCAAACCAAACTCTATGGGTCCAAAAGATAGCTTGTACAAGAACCCTGCAGGACAGCACTGAAGAGAAGTCTGTCTTTAGGTAATGTGGTCCCTCATATCAGCAGCCATCTTTGACCAGTAAGTTGATCCCAAGCCCATCCTAGCCATCAGTAGCCAGTAAGGTGGCTCCAAACCCAGGCCAGCTCTCTGTGGCCAATAAGGTGACCCTCAGCATAAGCTAGTCATCTAAGGCATGTGGGGTAGGTCCCAGCCTAACCAATGCAAATATGGGTAATAGTCTGTCCCCCAGCCTAGGTCAGCCATTTGTGATGAGTGGTATGGGTCACACACTTACTCAGTCAATTTGGGCCCCAGGGGTGAGTTCAGATCTACTGTGATCTAGGGTGAATGCAGTGGCCCCTTGTCTGTGTCATCCATCCTTTCTAACTGAAGTCACCTAAAATATACATCTATCTGGGGCCAGTGGCATGGGCCAGGGGCTGTCAGCTGTCTCTGGCCACTGGGGTGGATCCATATCAGGATTATCTGATGGGTCACTGGGTGACCTTAAACTTCCAGGTCCCTAAACTCAGTGGTGTCCCCTGGGTTTCATCAACCACTCAGTGTCGGTGGGAGGTGCCCATACACAAGAGAATATTCTGCTGTCATTGTTTCAGCCCCAAACCTCTGCCAGGCATCTGTGACCAGTGGAGAGGACTCTTGTCTAGGCCAAAGAATCAGGCTATCTCAGGGAATTATATTCAGAGGCATGGCTACAAGCATGTCTCAGGGCACCATAGTTGCTGGCATGCTCCCAAATGTGTCTTGGGAGACCCTAGCTGATGACAAGTTCCTAAATATGTCTCAAGGACCTGTGTCTCCCAGTGTGACAAGGAGTATGTGCTGGAGAAGTGTGGCAACTGCTATGGGCCCAAGGCAATCTTAGGCGGGCAGTGGCATGGTTCCCATATCATCCTGGGCCTCTGTAGCAGGTACACCTTTGGCTTATGAACAAGCCAGAGGTGGGTCCTGGCTTCTCTTAGACTTTAGTGTTCAATGGACTGGGTCTATGAGTCCATCCAAATTTTCCCTGGCCAATGTAAGCCCCAGCATATCTCAATATTGATCTGCCAATATCTATGGACCCCACCAGTGTCCTATGTTCATAGTCACCACATTCAGTTTCCAACAACTGAATGCTTTCAGCCAGGAGCCTTGGTGGGCATAGCCAGTCTTCTGGTGCCGGGTTCTATAGCCAATAGGATGACCACAGCCGTGGCCCCAGGTACTTTGGTCAGTGGCATGGCCTCCAGCTTTCCCACAGGGTCTGTGATCAGTTATGTGGTCCCCAGCCTTCTTCTAGGTTATATGGCCAATTGTGTGGCTCAGACCCTTCTCCCAGAATCTGTGATCAGTGGCATGGGCCAGATCTTTCCAATTCCATGGCTAGTGCTGGGGCCTCCAGCCTTTCTCCAGGTTCTGTGATCAGTGATGTGGCTCAGAGCTTTCCCGAGGTCTTGTGGCTGCAGCATGGCCAGGACTCTACCTCCAGATTCTGTGGTGAATGGGGTGCTCCCCATACTAATTACAGCACCTGGTACAGGTGGAAAAAGGCTAAGACTCTTTGTAAGATCCTCTACTAATCTAACCTCTCCAAGATTGTTCCTAGGTTCAGTGGTGAGTGGGGTATGCCTAAGTATCTCTCTGGTTCTGTGGCCTCTAGTGTGGTCCCAGCATTTATGACGGGATGAGTCAGGGTCTGTTCTGGAGTCCATGCTAGTGTAGCTAGTCCATGCTCCACAGTTGGAAGTGTGGCCCACAGTCTTCCTCAGGGGTCCATGCTCACTGGACTCACCCCTCATCCTTGCCATGGAGCCCTGGCTGAGGAGGGGTCTGCAGCCCCCTTCCAGGCATCCCATGCCACTGGCCTGGCTCAAGCTCATCCTCAGGCCTTAGTTAGAAGCTAGTGGCAGAGCCAGAAGAGTGTATCAAGTGCCCATGGTTCTGCAAAGAGCCTCACAGTTGAGCTATGCTGTTGGGACAATGGCCTTTGAGACCAGAGTTGGCCAGGCCATGATGAAACCAGAGGACCTGGACAAGGTCTACTCCAGCCAGGTGTCCGTGGTCCTTGATTCAACCCCATGGGTCTCTGAGAGTCCCCTGGCACCTGATGTCAACTATGGCCATTAATTCCTGGCAAAAGACAACACTGTTCCCAAAAACCAAAGACTGTTGTTGGAGGAGGTGGTTCCCAGCCAAGCCAAATCTATGATGAGTGGCATGGCCCCTGTCCCCTCCCCAGCCTCCATGTTTTTCAAGCACACCAAAGCCAGCAGTGTTACCCCAACTCTGTAGCAGAGGTCAGCAACTAGTTGGAGAGCCCCTAGTTCCCACTTTGCAACTTCTCATGGGGTGCCCAGTGTACAAATGAATATGGGCCCCCTTAGCTCATCAGGTGCCAGTGGCTCACATTGTGCCCCAGAGTCCCTTGGCTGCTAACATAGTCCCCTGGAGCCCCTTCGCTACTCACATTCTCCAGAGCCTATTGGCTGCTCATGTGCCCTGGAGCCAGCCATTCCCATGGGATGGTGACTTCTACAGTAATATCAAGGTTGCTCAAGCTAGCTTGTAGCAGTTCTATGGCATCTAGTTTGCACCTGGGGTCTGTGTCTGGGACCACTACCCAGAGGTCAGGGGCCACCAGTGTGGCCTCACATTGCTGCCATATCAGTCTAAGGCTAGTGGAGTAGCATTTGGTGGGCTCCAGGTAGAAGCTGTCCCAAGTGCATTTCAGAAACCTGTGTCTAGGAGCCTGGCTCAGAGCAGCCACCACCTCCTTGGCCCTAGGAAGTCCTCCAGGCCCATGCATGGTAGCTTTGTCTCTGGAATGCAGATGGTTCTGTGGCCAAGACTGAGCCCTCCCAGCAGTTGGGGGAGCTGCCTCCAGGTCCACACAGGAAGGTCCCAAAGGTTCTGTGGGTGCACTGCTGGCCATGACACCGATTATCGGTACCGGCAATCTGGGGTTTGGAGGGTGTCTCTAGGTTATAAATCATTTATTTATTTATTTATTTATTTATTTATTTATTTATTTATTTTTTATCCTCACCCAAGGACATTTTTCCATTTTTTGTTAAGGTAGAGTGGGAGGGAGAAAGGGGAACAAAGAGAGAGAGAGAAACATCGATGTGAAAGGAACACACCGAGTGGCTGCCACCCGCATGACCTACCAGGGCCGGGACAAACTGCAACCGAGGTACATGCCCTTAGTGGGAACCGAACCCGGGTCTCTCTGGACCGCAGGCTGACGCTATAACCGCTGAGCCAAACCGGCCAGGGCTAGGTTATAAATCTTCACCAAGCATTTCCTGGCAGCCCCTTTTTAACTGGGAGTCATTATAGGGACCTCAGAATTTGCATAGTACCGTTGCTCTTGTGGACAGTCACAGGGCACCTCTGACTTCTGCTGTACTCCAGGGCCCCGTGGACGCCGGCGTGGCTGGTGGGCAGGCTTGGAACACTGCCATCCCCAGTGTTGCCATCGGACTCATGAACAGCACCAAGGCCCCCTGTGGTTCATGGGAACCAGCCAGGTGCCCTATGCAGTGGGATGCCGAGGGCAGCGAGGCAGCGCTGGATTCCAGACGATTTGGGGAGCTGGTGGCGTCAGTGCAGACTGTGGAGAAGATAATAGTGCAAGCTGCAGTCACTATACAGGCGTGTGCACGTGGCTACTTGGTGCGCCGTACCATCAAGGTGTGGCATCAGTGGGCTATCATCATCCAGGCTGCCTGGCGTGGCTACTGTGTGCGGCGGAACCTGGCCCAGCTCTGCAGAGCCGCCACGATCATCCAGGCCACGTGGCGAGGCTACTTCATTCGAAGGAGCCAAACTCAGCAAATGCTGCTCCCTGGCACATGGATTGAGGTGGGTGGCAGGGCCAGGTGCACCTCCGACCATCGCTGCTTTCAGTCCTGCCAGCCACACGTTTGTACCCTCTGCCAGTCACTGAGTCCCCAGCTGGGGAGCCCACCCAGTGCGGTGATGCTCGTGGGTTCCAGCCCCCGCACGTGCCACATGTGTGGCCAGACCCTACCCACGCGGGTGGTGCAGGGCATGGGCCAAGGCACCACAGGCCAGAGGGGCATGCTGTGGGACAATGACACCCAGCCAACCCCCCAGGGACCCCAGCAACCCCATAGCCAGAGTAAGGCAGCCACCATCATCCAGTCCACCTGGAGGGGCTTCGTTGCACGTCGCCAGCTGAGGCAGCAGCAGGTAGCAGCCAAAATGCTTCAAGCCACCTGGCGTGGCCACTACACCCGGGCCTCCCTAACCACAGATGCCCTTTTGGGGACAGCGGCATGGGACAACCCACAGAACATGCAGTGGCCAGGAGTGTAGGACCTTGGCTTCCCAGTGGGGGGACACCAGGTGAAGTGCCATGTGGCTCTTGGTCTAATAAATAAAGCCCTCCACAGCCTGGGTCTTGGTCTACCTGTGCTTATAGGGTTATCTTGGGCATGGGTGTGGGGAGAATGGGGGTGTCTGGAACACTCTGGACTGGGGGAAAGCCTAAAGCTTTCAACCACATAGTTGCCACCCAGTGTCTGTGTCTAGGATGAGGACCCAAGCCCTTCCTGGAGGTCAGGAGCCTCCAGTATGGCCACTGAATCTGTCCATGAGTAGTGGAGTGGTGTCCAGTCGGTTCCAGATGGAAGGTGTCCCTAACACACTCCAAAAGTTAATGTCTGGGGACCTGGCCCAGATGGTCACCACAAGTCCCTTGGCCCTAGAAAACCCTATGGGTGAATGCATGGTGCCTCCTTCAGGAAACGCTAGGGGTTTCCAGCCAGGTACTATTTGGTGGAATGCTGGGCTCACCCCCAAGGGGCCCCAGTCTAGGAGAGAGAGCTAGACACAGATGTTCCCAGCCAGTGGGGTTAAGGACAGGGCAGGGAGGGGGAGAGGGGCTGCAAGCACCCAGAAGAGGCAGCCTGATTGAAGGAGGAGCAAAGGGGTGATTGCATGGGTTTGGGGCAGCTATGGAGGGGGCCACTGAGTGAATGGGGGCTACGGGGGGAGGGGAACTGAAAGAAGCAGGGGTGTCCTGAAGGAATGAGAAGAATTTGAGGGCTTCAGGTCATGGTTCAGGTGGGATTTTTAGGCAAGGCAGGCATCCAGGTGGAGAGCGTATGGCACCGCTGGGAAACGGTAGCACCCCCCCCCCCCCATAGACCCATGTCCTGAGGCCCCACCTCCGCCTCTCCTCTGGACTGGTGTAAAAAGCAGCCACCTGGCCATTCACCTGGCCACACATCGCACCTGTGTAGAGCCCAGCTTTCACCCTCCCTAGGCAGGAATGGCAGGCTCCCAACTGCTACCACCACTTCTGCTGCTGGTTCTGGTGCTGCTGCTGCAAACTGACGTGAAAATCTCTGCCTCTGTTGACACTCCTACAGGTGAGGAAGATGAGCTTCTAGAAAGCTGGAGGGGGCCATGCTGCCCAGCCACACACCTAGTGTTTGGGCCCCTACCCCAGGCCAGGCTGGGAAGGGCTGCTCCTCCCAGAAGCAAGGTGAGAGATGGGTTATGAGAACAGCTAGAGCATCCCCCTCCACGACCCCACTCTAGCCCTGAGGCTAACGATTCTGCAACTCCAGCTTGACCTGAGCCAGTGAGAAGCTGTGACCACCTCATATCCAGTTTGAGGTTCCATTTTAAACCTGTTCCTGTTAGCCAGCCCCCAAGAGAAGGAGGAGCCCGAAACCATGGGAAGGGGGACAAGGGCTCATTTCCTGGTCACTAAGCATCTATGGCTCCCAGAAGTTCTTGACACCTAATTGTCTTCTGCTGCCCTGTAAGACTGTTCCCAGGGTAAAGAATTGAATTTCTTTTTACTGAAATTTTAATTTTTTGTTTTTGCATTTATTTTCAGATAGAGTGGGAGGGAGAGAGGAAGAGAGAGAGAAACATAGACATGAGAGAGAGACATTGAGTGGCTGCCAACCACACAACCCCAACCAGGGCCGGGGACAAACCACAACCGAGGCACGTGCCCTTAGCAGGAACGGAACCTGGGCCTCTTCGGTTCGCGGGATGACAATCCAACCGCTGAGCCAAACTGGCCAGGGATGAACTCTTTTTTTAAAAATTGTTTTCTTGCCCTGGCCGGTTTGGCTCAGCGGTTAGAGCATTGGCCTGCGGTCCGGAGAGACCCGGGTTCAATTCCCGCTAAGGGCATGTACCTCGGTTGCAGTTTGTCCCCGGCCCTGGTTGGTCGTGCGGGTGGCGGCCACTCGATGTGTCCCTTTCACGTCGATGTTTCTCTCTCTTCCTCTCTCTCCCTCCTACTCTGTCTGTGCAAAAGATGGAAAAATGACCTCGGGTGAGGATAAAAATAAATAAATAAATAAAAATTGTTTTCTTTATTGATTTTTAGAGAGAGAGAGAGAGAAACATCGATGAGAAAGAACATCGATTGGCCGCCTCCTGCATGCCCCCCAGTGGGGATTGGGCCCACAACCTGGGCATGTGCCCTGACTGGGAATCCAACTGGTGACCTCTTGGTGCATGGGTCAACGCTCAATCACTGAGCCACACCAGCCAGGCAAGAGTTGAACTCTTGAATTATCTCCCCTCCCACAAAATCATCCCCCTCTCTGACCTGTGTACCAGCCCCAAGCCTGTTCTATTGGAGTGGAGGCCACCACACCTATGACACTTTTTGCAGGCAAGGGCTCCACTCAGAAAGCACCACATGTACCCTCATTTTATAGCTCAGGAAACTGAGGCTTACCACAGTCTCCCAGCCTGTTCTAGAGCTGGGTTAGAACCAGTTGACTTGGCCATGCCAGCCTCCTGGTCTAGGAGTCTCTGGGCAAAGCAAAGTACATAGAAATAGCTCCAAGCCCTGGCTGGGTAGCTCAGTTGGTTAGAGTGTAGTCCCAAAAGGCCAAGGTTGCGGGTTTGATCCCTGTCAGGACACATACAATAATCAACCGATTAATGCATAAATGAGTGGAACAACAAATCAACATTTCTTTCTCAAATCAATAAAAACAAAAATCAAACAAAAAAATACTTCATAAAGAAAAAAAAGAAAAAGAAAAAAAAGCTCAACTCCACTTTACCTTTGGTCAAGTCTCCAGCAGTTCATGAGCTCCTTCCTACTCTGTGCCAGGCACTCAGCAGAGCTTGTGTCCTCCACTACCTCCTCTTTTAAGTCCCACTAGTTTTCCTCAGTTCACTTTAAAAGTTCAGCTCCTTGCCCGGACGGTGTGGCTCAGTGGATTGAGTATCGTCCCATGGACCGAGAGGTCCCAGTTTGATTCCCAGTCAGGGTACATGCCCTGGTTCCCCAGGGTACATGCCTTGATCCCCCAGTAGGGGGCGTGCAGAAGGCAGCGGATTGATGTTTCTCTCTCTCTGTTTCTTCCTCTCTCTCTCAAAAAAAATGTTCAGCTCTCACCCTGGCCAATTTAGTTCAGTGGTTAGAGCATAGACCTATGGGCCAAAGGGTCATGGGTTTGATTCCTGGTCAAGGGCAGGTACCTGGGTTACAGGTTTGATCCCCAGCCCCAATCAGAGTCATGTGGGACACCACATGTTTCTCTCTCTGATGTTTCTCTCTCTCTCTCTCTCTCTCTCTTCCACTCTATCTAAAAAAATTAATGGAAAAATATCCTCAGGTGAAAACTAACAAAACAAAACAAAAAAGTTCAGCTCCCCAGAGTTCTGCCTTGGCTTAGGGTCCACTGTGGCCCCTGAGTCATCCTCATTTCAGCAAAAACTTATCATCATCTGGATTCTTCCTCAAATGTTGGTGAGAGGCAGTTTGGAAAGGATGGTCTCTTAGTCCTTAATTCCTTGGAGGTTCTTGAGGGACTCTCTTCCCACCTTCTCAGTTACTTCAGGCCTGACTCTACTATTCTGAGCCTCAGTTTCCCATCTGTAAAATGGAGATAAAGTCAGGCCAGGGCACTAGGCCTCTTCTAGGCTCAGCTGTCATCTCCACAAGGCCCAGGAGACTGGACAGAGAAATGTGAGTCTGCATGTGGACCCAGACCCCTCTTGAGCCTAGTCCTGGATGTTATTTCCATATTTCTGCCATCTGGGAGGCAAGAGAGGAAGCACAAAGATCCATCCAGGGTGGAGCGGACAGGGTCAATGAATGAACGTGCAAGTAGCTAAAGTGCCCAGCAGCCTGGAACTGGGAAGGAAGTAATTGTAGGAGGTGGCCCATGAAATATTTACCCACCCTCAGTCAGGCCCCTGGGCATGGTGCCTGGGAGGATCAGGAGTCAGGGAGCAGCTGGAACAAGATTGGTGGTAGGATTTTCCAGAGCTTTGATCTGCTGACTGTTCCCAGAGCCCAGGACTCTGTGCCCCCTATTACAACTCTGAGTGTGGCCATGGGGACCTTTCAGGCACCTGTGGAAGATTAGGGCTGATCCTCCCTGGGGAGCTCTGCAGTGAGTCTGTGCACCCACATGTGCAGACCTGTGTGAACTCTCAGAGGGGCTGACTGTCAGTGATGCCCATTTTACAGACAAAGAAACCTGTGAGTCCCAGAAGGTGTAAAAGAGTCACCAAGTGCTGCCTGGGTTGCAGCCATTCCTTGTATCCAGACAGCTTCTGGAGCCCCAAAACAAGAGGGGGCTGGGAGAATATGACCTGGACTAGAATGCGGTCTGTGGGGCTTCAGACAAAGAGCTTCAAACACGACCACCTCATTCTCCCACTGAGCACTCGCACGGTGTACTAAATCTCCAGTAAACCCTAGGAAGCAGGTTTACTATCTGAGGTAATGGGGAAAGAAGGTATCCAGAAACGGGTCAGGGTTTGAGTCCTGGTCAAGGGCAGGTACCTGGGTTGAAGGTTGGATCCCACCCTTGTTCCTAATCATCCTCTCCCTGTATCCTCTGGTGTTTTCTTTCCAGATGTTAAGAGGGAGACTAAGACTTCAACTTCCAAACTTTGGACTTTTTTCCCTCCAGCCACAGCTCTCCTAGTTCAGTGGAAACCTCCACCAACCACTTCAGTACCACCCCCCCAGCTCAGTCTGCACCATCCACCCCAGTACCCCTAGTTTGAGGGCAGACCCCACAATCCCCTCATAGCCCCTTAAATTCAGATCAACCCCCACCATCCAGCCCAGCTCCAGCTCCACAAATTTAAGGTTAGCACCTACCTCCCCACAACCAGAGACAATCCCCACCCCAATTGGGGCTCTCCAGTTCAGAGCTCACCCACATCTCCCACTCCAGCGGCCTGAGTTCCACCTCCTTGACCCTGCATTGGAGCCCCACTTCCCCCAGCCCCAGAACGGGTGCTCTAGCTGGGGTTATCAGGTTGCAGTTATGGGATCAGCCTCCAGGGAGAGACACAGACCTGAGAATGTG